TTTTTTTGTAACGTTGAGAGCGAGACTTGAATCTTACATCTCAAGTTTAGCATAAGAAAGTTTTTATAAGAGGTTAATAGTCATTAAATTATAAAATAATAATTATTAATTGAGGTACAATTTTTAAAGGGGATACAATTACAACAATTCATGTCACTGTTTACAAATCATAATTCCTTGAACTGCATGTGTCTTTGAGCTTTATCACATGCCAATCTTTTTAAAGGTTGGCAAAATGTCCCAAGTCCTGCAAAAGATCCGCCAGGATCCATATTGCGGAGGTTGGGGAGGAATATTATTCGATAAATATTATTTCCATTTAAAAGCTCAACATCTTAAATTGAAAATTTTGAATTTAGATATTAAAATAAATGAACAATAATTAAGAAAAAATAAAAATTATTTTTATTAAAAATATATATATCAATTTTAACTCAAAAAAATAGAGTTTTAATTTTAAATAACGTTATTTTATTTGATTAAAACTAATTTTAAGATTTAAAAATTTATATTAATAAATGTTAATATTTAGATTTAAAAACTGATTATATTAAAATATACAATTATTTTCATATTTGAATATGAACATTTAATAAAATAAATTTTTAAATTTTAAATTAAGATTGTGTAGTTTTAAATATAGATTAAAATTTTAATTGTTTTTAGAAGTTTATATTGATCAGCATTAATTTTTATCTATTTAAAAGAAAATTATTTTAAAGATTTTTCAGAGGGCAAAGGATTTAGCTGAATTGAAGGCAAAATCAATGGCAGCATGCGTGAACCCTAATTTATTATTTCTTATTTAGGTGCTGTTAAACTTTCATCGCATATTTTCAATTAATAATTGTTCCTTCTGAAAAACGTTACCTAATCCTTATCCCTTTAATCAAATTTAAAACAAAAAGAATCTAAGGTGGGGATAGATTCATTGCAAATGTTCATTGTTCTAAGCATGGAACATGCAACAATTAGTTGATGTAATACAAACCTAACTGTTGCCATTACGTGTCAACAACAGATCCACCGAAAAAAAAAAAGGTATGCTGCTGTCTATATGGTTTAAAACGAAATAATAATAATAAAAAAGCTTGCTTAATTTTTTTTTTTATTGTAAGAAAGATGATTAGTAAATTAGTATCTATTCGAGTACTGATCGACTGTTGAAAAGTCAATTTAATAATTATGTATTACGTTTTATCTTATTTTTCACATGGAAAAACATGATCACTTGGGTCACATGGGAAAATGTAGTAAGCTTGCACAACTTATAATTATTAATAAGTGGTGAGTTTTTTTTTAGTAATAATTATAAAATATATAATTTATATGTAATATATTATAAAATGGTTATTTATTAAGAAAATTTTTTTGTA